GGGGACGGGGCCACCGGGCAGGGGATGTGGTGGCCTCTCTACCTGCCGGGCAATTCCTTATTGTCCCGGCTCCCGCTGCCTTGTAAAGGGCTGATGGATAATGCTCATCATGGAGCCGAGCGATGCCGTCACCTCACTCCCTCCTCGCACCACGATCCATCTTCTTTATAGCGAGGACCCGGAGCCAGCACCATCTGCGGCACCAGAAATACAATTACCGGGGGGGGGGAGAGCCCCTCTCCTTCCAAATTTCATAGAGACCTCGCAGAGCAACCCTAAATTACTCCCCCGCACACACCAGGGACCTCGTGCGCCACCGTTTCCCTTTAGGAATAATTACAGGCGGGAATTAGCAAGTCTGATTTCCCTCCCCGCTCCTCCGTGCCCTCCCCGGAGCTTCCCCCTCCTCCAAAATAAAAAAAAAAGGGAAGAAATTGAAATTGATCCCCGGCCCCGGCGCTGGCCAGCTGTAATTTAATCAGAAAAGCCTCTCTCTTGGCATTTATTTATTTTTTTTAACCCCGAGGTCCTAAATTAAAAAGGAGAGGATGGTGGGGTGGGAATGGGAACAGAGGGAGCCACGGGTTTGGGAGCTGCTGGAGCCTCTCACCAGCCCTGGAGTGTGGAGACTGTGCCGAGGGGGTGACGGGCTCACACCACCCTGGTTTGGTGTCCTGGCTCCCAGTGCCTGTTCCCACACTCTGCTCCCCATGGACACCCTCCATCCCATCCAGTTTGGGTTCAGGGGCTGTTGGTTGTGCTGCCCTCGAGCTGGAATCCAAAAAAAAAAAAAGGCAAATGGAAAAACTCGAGTGAAAAATCCTCATGAACCCCCTTTGATCCCTCTGCCAAGGAGAAGAACCGAGAAAAAAAATTATTTATAAAGCACCCAAGTCCTTAATTCCTTTTCAGGCAGCAGATCCTTTCTACTTGCACCAGGTTTGTGAAATTCAGGGAACTAAGGTCAGATTTCTATTTTATTTTGGTGTTGTTTTTTTTCCTGGCAGAGCTCACTTCTCCTGCATGTCACAGCCCTGCCGGCTCGGCGCTGCTGCCCCGGGGCTGAGGAGCTTTATGGTCTTAACGTGTACTGGGGGTAAATCCCGGTGAATCCCCCGGCTTCCCAGGGCTTCTTCATCATGGAATCACACAGAGTATCCTCCGGGAATGTCCAGGCAGGCACAAGACAAGGGGTTGTTGTCCCACCGTCCCGAGGTGGCCAGCGGAGTGTGACGGATGCTCCGAGCGCTTTGTCCTCGCCAGAGGCAGGGAGGGACATTCCTCGGCACAGCAGGACCCACCCAGAGGGACAATCCCCCCCTCTGGAGCGGCTTGGGGAAGGAAAAGGGCTGCAGGCGGGTGGTGTGGGCTCTGGGCGAGGCAGAGGACAGGAACCCTCGGCCCACACCAGGCTCCTGAGCGGGATCCACAGCGGGAACGGGCTCGGCGACGTAAATCACGGCCTGACCCCAGGATTGCTCCGGCCTTCAGGCAAGGGTGGCTTTGTCACCTCCTCTGGTGACGCCCAGCACTGATTTATGGCCGGGTGGGGAGTGGGATGTGACACCCCAGACACCTCTCACCCCCCCAGCCCGGCAGCACCCGGCCCTGTCCCGGCCGCTCCGCTCCTTCCCTGGGCAGCACCCAAGTGTGGGGCCAGCAGGGCTGGATGTGGGGACACAAACTGTGGCACCGTGTCCCCTCAGCCTGCTCCTGCACAGGGAGCTGCGCTCGGGCACGACCTGGCCCCACCAGGGCAAGGAGGGACAGGGCGAGGAGAGCCCGTCCCCAGATCTAAATCAACGCCCTCCACTTCCCGTCCACGCTGAGTTATTGCTCCTGGTTTTGTGATGGAGATGACCAGGAGGTGAGGGATGAGTGACCTGGGCCAGACCACCGGGCTCGGCGCTCCCAGCCGGACCCTGGGCGAGGGGTGAAAGATCAGGGCTGTCCTCCAGCCCCTCCCCAGCCCCCCACCTGCACCGAGGCTCCTGAGAGTGATTTAGGGTGTGCGGGATCACCGGGAGGGTGGGACCCCACAGCAGTGCATCCCTGCAGCAGAGCAGCTGGACCTGGAGCTCTGGGAAGGGACCATTCCCGTGTGTCAGCTGGGTTATTTATCTCCTGGCTGGGTTTCCCTCCATCCTC